TTGTCTGGCAGTGTCAGCAAAGGCATTGCCAAGAGCATACCCGCCTTTCTTCTTTGCTTGCTGCTTCTCTCTCCTGGCTCCGGTTCAGCTTACATTTTGTTTTGTTTACTTCTAACAAGTCCAGCAGTACATTAAACCTATATTTTATGTAGAGAAGCCAGGAGAGCAGAGAAAAAAGTATATTTTATAGATTTAGTAAGGATTTTTTTTTTTGCAAGGGAGGGTGCTTCTGAGTATCTAGCCTACTAAATTTCTGGGTAGCATTTTTGATTAGCCATATTGATATGAACATTTTGAATATATTCAGTGTCCCCGACCCCGAGACCAAAAGAACACTGGCACTACTTGTAGAAATGGAAACTGGGACAAATTTTCTGAAGAATGTAAACATTCCAGACTTTGAGTAATTTTACTTTAAGAACTCTACTGAGGAAATAATTTGAAATGTCCTCAAAGATTTATGCTCTGAGATATTCACTCAAATTGTATTTCACAAAATGGAACAAAACTAAGCCTTTAAGCTAGACCTTTCTTACTCATCTGCCTATCTTAATCCCAATGTCATGCATCTGTAGCATTAAAATAAAATGAAACCAAACTACATGAATCTATACCAAAAGCACTGTAAGGTAAAGCAGATCATTATTGAAAATTTCTGGGGAAGAGAGAGGAGGGAGGTTACCCTTCATCTTATCCAACAACATTTCCTTAAAGATCCTTTAGCACATCTCTCCATTCCCCAAACTCTATTTCTGCAGCCTACAACCTTCCTTGCTGTGACTCTGCCTCTGCATCAGCAATTTCTATTCCCTTCCCCACAACCAGGATTATTCTTCTCACTTCTTTCTCTGGCCACCTCTGAATATTTTCCATTCCTAGATTTTCTCCTCTGTTTTTTTTCCTCCTATGTTCAACTAAAATCTTTACTGATAAAGTCCGTTTGAAAATTTTTAAATCTTCTGTATATTTCTAACTGTTTTATATTATGTATTTGAACTTAAAACCTAATTCATCCTTTAGCTTCCTTATTGTAAGGTTAAATAACCCTGATTTACCTAAATATTCCTTTTGAATTTGTTTTCTTTTTAATTACTTTGGCTATTTTTACTTTTTTTTTTTTACTTTTTTCATATTATTTTATAGTATCCCAAACTGAGCACAGAATTTTAATAATAGTGTAATAGAGCTATTACTTTCTTGTCCTTAGATGTATTACATTCTTTAAGCTCTCTGTACAGCAACACTGTTCACCTTTGTATGTAAGAGAAATTTACATTTCATTTTTTTAAATGGCCCTAATAATAGTTGAATATGTTAGAAAGTGTAAAAATCATGTACTTTTTTTGTCTCTGTGTGTGTCTATGCTGAGTAACAAATGACATAGAGATGGTATCCAATGTATACAAAATGGATCATGTAGTAAACTGACTCAAAAACTGGTTCCCATTGTTGCAATAGGGCATAATTATTTTATGTTTGTCTTGATATATAGGCTTAAAACTTGGAAGTAATTTTTTAGTAGAGTTTTGCCTCTGGAGGATTTGGTTTGTATATTTGACTTTCTAAATGTTTAAAACATTTAAAAACACAAGACAGTGCTGTTTTTTGATCACAAAAGAGTGTGCTATCTTTTGGCATGTGTATGATCTTTCTTTTCCTCTGAGATCACTACTACTCAAGCTCTAGCTTAAGTGAGAAATGTGAAAATGCTGCTTATTGTTATGCCCTGTTTTTAAAAGAATAAAGCAGCCTTTGAATTAAAAGTAGACCATATCCTTAATAGCCCTATGTAGAAGAATGAACCTGAACTCCTATCTCTTACCATATACAAAATCAACTCAAAATGGATCAAGAACCTAAATGTAAGACCCAAAACTATTAAAATATGAGGGAAAAACCTAGGGAAAATGCTCCTGGATATTTTTCTAGACAAAGAATTTATCACTAAGACCTCAAAAGCACAGAGAACAAAATCAAAAATAGATAAAAGGGACTTAATTAAAATAAAAAGATTCTGAACAGCAAAATAAATTATCAAGAAAGTGCAGGTACAGTCTCTTCAGTGGGATAAAATATTTGAAAACTATCAATCCAGCAAGGGACTAATATCCGGAATATAGGAGGAATTCAAATAATTCAAGAAAAATAAACACTAAAAAGTTGGCAAGGCTGGGCGCAGTGGCTCATGCCTATAATCCCAGCACTTTGGGAGGCTGAGGTGGGCAGTACATGAGGTCAGGAGTTTGAGACCAGCCTGACCAACATGGTGAAACTCCATCTCTACTAAAAATACAAAAATTAGCTGGCCATGGTGATACACGCCTATAGTCCCAGCTACTCAGGAGGCTGAGGCAGGAGAATCGCTTGAAACTGAGAGGCGGAAGTTGCAGTGAGCTGAGAT